CTCTTCTTTTTCTTTCTTTTTAAACCCCCGTATAATCGAGAGAACCTTTCATCGATTTTTTTTTACTCTCCAACACCTATTTTCTATCCACGAGAGCCATCGTCCGCGGATAAAATTAACTCGAACACTCTTCTCATGGTGTTAACCAACTTAAGGGGACACATATCATTATTTACACCTTTTCGTTTTATTGAGAATCTCACCTTTTTTATCCACATTTTTCCTTTAAATGTTCCGAAGTACTCGAAAGGTAGATTTTTTTTCAGGGTTGTATACTTGATTCCAATTTTTATTAACGTAACTAATAGATTTTCAAAATGGAAGCTTTTGTTGTTGTTCGTTTTATTTTTTCGTTCATTCGTGTCACTCGACCACTTTAATGAAGATTCACGCGTTATTCTACCTTACTAAGGGTGAATCATAAAAAAAACCGATTACACCATAGTTTTTATCCCTTGTGAAAAGAAAACATTTAAAGAGAAGCACGGTTTACATAATAAAGACAAAAAAAAAGCTTTTCTTATCGATTAGTATCATTCTAACCTTACAAATTACGCGAATAGTGCAACAAATATGATGTCAGTTACCTTAAAGAAGAAAACAAGTATAGTCAATCACAAAATAGAAAGAAGATCATGTAATGAAACTAAAATAATCATTCTAACCTTAAAAATTATGCAAATAGTGCAACGAATGATGGCAGTTACCTTAAAGAAAAGATAAAACATAATAATAGTATAATAAATTACAAAATAAAAAGAATATCATGTAATAAAAATAAAATGGCTATTCTAACCTTAAAAATTGCAAGAAGAAATTAAAAAAGTTCAACGAATAATGTCAGTTACCTTAAACTAACAAAACAAAACAAAAATTAGCATATTAAATAACAAAATAAAAAGAATATCATGTAATAAGACTAAAATGGTCATTCTAACCTCACAAATTCCACAAATATTGCAACGAATGATATCAATTACCTTAAACTAACAAAACCAAACAAAAATTCACATATTAAATCGCAAAATAAAAAGAGGATCATGTAACGATACTATAATCATCATTCTAACCTCACAAATTACCTAAACGATGTAACAAATGATATCAATTACCTAAACTAATGAAACAAAACAAGAAATTAGTATACTAAATCACGAAATAAAAAAGAGTATCATGTAATGAAACTAAAATCGATGATTTCATAAGAAAACAATTGTCTCGAGAGGTAATATAGTTATCTGTATGATTCATCTACGTGGCGCCCAGTTGATGCCACTTAGTTCTTACTAATCTTAGAAAATAATCTTTCTTATCTACTTGCAATGACTGTTTTCTTTTTTTCTTATTTTTTCTCTTTCAAATCGTTGACAACGGAAGAACTGGATTTGTTCGCGAAAGACAAGAAGCTTGCGTGGGTGTTTAAGGAGTGAACATGTACCCACACACACGTATCAGACACACACATACTATTACACGTACGCAAAACGGGGTGCTAAGTTAATTAAGTTCGCCTACTCGTTAAGGAAAAACGTCAATCGTGATTCTGCGTATCGAAAAGAAAAAATAAACAAAAAAAAAACAAACACAAGTTAGTAGAAATCTAGGGGAAGGGATTTCACACGAAAAAGATCGTTTAATTAAAATAACTTAGGGAAATCGTTTAGAAATGGCATGACTGAGTTAAAACAAAAAGAATGTGTATAAAAACCAAATGTGAATAAAATGGGTCAATGAGGGGAACTAGGGGTGAGGTGGGGGTACGAGGAATAACGGAATTCTGATGACTAAAAGGATGTTAACATTAGCGGGGAAAAAAAAGGAATATTCAGGAAATCCAAAAAGATTTGGTTTATTACTAATCGGAACTTCCGTCTGTAAAGATTCATAGTCATCGTAAGTGAGACTATCCTAACGTTGTAGTAGTAGTCAGTCTAGCGTGACGTACGTTAGAAGATTTTCTATTTTCTTACTGCTTACTCGCATCACCAATCTTTGCACCTTTAAACAACAACAATCTTTCGTTTTACGTAATCCGATCGACGAAAACTACAGCGAGAGGGATTCCCCCTTGTGTGAGGGAACCACCGATGATATTTTTTTTCCTTTTTCTTCTTCTTCTTCGTTTTTCTTCTTCTACCGGATCAAGATTCTTATCGGAAAACCTCGAGTCACTGTATGCATTTAATTCCGAGAATAGAAGTTTCCGAATATAGACAGGCTTCTATAACTTTTCTTTTTTTTTTTTTAAACATTACGTTTATATCAAAGATTTTTTTTTACGAAGAATAAATAATTCTTACGCGTTAGATTACTCAAACATTTTTATAAATAACGAGATGATTATTATTACAAGATAATAAATGTTAAAAAGTTTTGTAGGTTAGGGTGTCGGTTAGCAAACGAGATGATTCGCATTTTGAACGCTTTCCGAAGATTGGCCAGGTTTGGGTATGGGTTTGGGTAGCGTGCGGCAGAGCAAGGTGGGTTAATTAACGACGTGACGTCGTAATTGGCGGGGGTAATTCGATACCCTTAGCGGGAGAACGTCGGCTCGCGCACGTCGTTAAATTAAAATCGTGTAGGGGCTAAAGGTGGGAAGAGAATCGTGGCAACCTGTCGACCGTGTTGCTGCTGCTGCTTCTGCTGATGCTGGATCCTGGATCCTTAAGCTGAGACACGAGCAAGCTTCCAATTTGTAAACGCATAATATTCGTATAATTTGCTCAACGCTAATGGGAATTACACCGGGTAACCATCGTTAAACTAATGTCCCTATCACTGGACTCCTCATCTACTTTTATTTTTTTTTTTTTTTAATTTGTAACTTATTCAATAATTTTTTGACAAAAAACGATATCCGTGAATGGCACACACCTAAAGATTACCATACATAAATTATATTGAAATGATAAACGCATATATGAGCCCTTAAGTCACACGGATTGGTGCTTTAAAGAAGTTCGATCAAAACCCTTTTAACGATCATGATGAATCGTTAAATTAATGTTCCAATTACTACACTCCCGATACTTTTATTTGTTTAAATTAATTTTTTTAATACATACCGTACTAAATAACTTTTGACAGAAACGATCCTCGTGAGAGGCACACACCTAACGATTGCGATTACTGATGATTGAATACTTTTTTTTGTTAACGTAGACTATATCGAATTGATAAAAGCATCCTAAATCACTCTGATTGGTGCTTTAACGAAGTACGATCGTACCGATGATCGTTCTGACGAAACAAACGTCAGTCTTTTGACTGGTATGCGTTATCTCGATTCGTAATAATATCTTATCAGTGACGTATCCCGACGTTCAATGATATTATTTGTTAATTTCTTTCTAGCGTGTAGATGATAAAACTTCAGTATCGCTTCAAAGAGAAATATATCCGTTCGATTGTTTGCAAACAATTTGATTATCGTTTCTTTTGTTTAACCCTTTGAGTGAACCTGCCTAACAATTGCAATTTTGCCGACAATGTTGAACTATTTTGATAAAAACAAAAGAACAAAGAGTAAAACAATTCTCAAACAAAGGATTCTAAAAAAATTTGAAGAGCGTATATATGCGTGTTTAGTCTACACAGATCATTAAAGTTGGGCGCATATATGCGCCCATATCGTTCAAAAGGTTAAACCATCAGAAAATCATCACTGAATACACCCACGTATCGGAAGCAACGAAGGGTGGTTACAATAACAGGTGGGGGAAGGAAAAAGTGGGGGTACAAAAAGGGACTAACATCGGGAGCACTGTTCGATAAAAAGAAATAAAAGACTATGTCGATTTCCGACTACGACACAACCAAGAAGAAGAAGAAGAAGAAGGAAGGTAGACAGGCTGGCTCGTCGAGGCGCGGCACAAAGTAAAGCGGAGAGGAAAGGAAGAGGAGAAGTTCGTAGAGTAGTAGAGTGGTGTGTGGTGGTGCGTCAGGTAGAGTGGGCTGCTGGTGGAGAGGTGGCCTGCCGAGGAGAGGAAGAAGGAAAGAGAGGAGGAGGTGGTGGTACCACTGATGTGAGTCGAGTCGAGGCGCGGCAAGGTGCTAGAGAGAGTGAGAGAGTGTGTGAGAGAGAGAACGAGAGAAGCAGCTAGCAGCTAGTCTCTCAAGTAACTGGGAGTTGCGAGTCCGGGGGAACTCAGTCAGCACGAGATCGGCAAGCCGAATGGTCAACCGCGCCGATACCCTCCCGGGGCTTGGAAGAAAGTACGCGCGAGACAACTAGAAACAAAAAAAAAAGGACACATAGATCAAAACATTCAGAATTAAGGAAAACTAAGAGATCATTGAAAAAGAAAAGGACAGGAAAAAATTTTAAGGGTGGTCAAAAGATCGTGAGCGCAAAAAAAAAAATAATAACAGGGCGCCTCGAATGTCAACTGAGTTTTTAATTCGCGTCGACCGCGTCGCGACGCCTAATAATTTTATCGACGACGTTCATAAAAACGTTGTTGTTATTATTGCTGCTGCTACTGTTATTGTTGCTGCTGCTGTTGTTGTTGTTATTGGTACTGTTATTGGTACTGCTGTTACTACTACATCGTTATTATTGTTTATATTGTTATCGGTGACAATAGATTTGGCGCGAGAGATTCGCGCTGACATGTGGAGATTCCTGGTACGATGTTACGTCACCTTGACGTCCATTTGACGCATCATTGATCCAACGATCGATCGTGTTAATTATCAGTTTTTTTTTATTTCTTAGTTTTATCTTATTCATTAATTTCGTTCTTTCTTTTTTCATTTTTTTTTTTTTCTTTCATTATTCAAATTGCATTTTTTTACTCGTTTGATCGTAAAAAATACGCGTGAAAGACTTTTCGGATTGATTGAGAAGACAACGAAATAAGAAGAGGCTTTTGTTTGCCTGTTCAAACCACCCCAACTCGATTAAGGGAAGCGGAAGTGCGCGAGTGGTGGATGAGGACGAGTTCAAACGGCCTGGAGAACCCGAAGAGGAAATTCTTCTGCAAGAGGACCAGGAAGAGATGATCTTCGAGCTGTTAATGGCCTCACCGTTGTTCGCCCTCGCCACACTAAGGCGGTGTGTGTACATTGCTAGATCCTTTTGTTTATCATATTTTAAATATTGTCCTTTATTTATATTTGATTGTGAATTTTTCTGTTTTTTTTTTTTTTTTTTTTTTTTTTTTTTTTTGTAAATTATCATCCAACTTATAGGACTGATACGTCATTTTCATTGCAACTGGTATCAACAATTTATAGTTGATAATAGTATTGTTATGTCAACTTGGATAAAATGTTAGAAGTAATAGTAATCCTTCGTTGTTAAAAGGGAATAATAATAATCGTTTTTATTTGCTCGTGTTCTTTTTGATCGGCACACTTGCGAGCTGCTGTTAACGGTGAGAGAAAAAGAAAAAAAAAATGAATAAGAAAAAGCGACGAATCACGTGTACGTATCGTTACAGATCGTCTTCTTAGAAATAATATAAATAAAAATAAAGTAAGGTAGCAATCGTGTTCAGTCGATCGGTAGCAGAACGTTTCGTCGGGAACGTCGTACTTTTTAATGACGCAATGACACGTGAGGATTCCATGCGACGGGTTCCATGCGTGTACCGTTTTCCCCCTTTATCCCACTACATACCCCCATCGAGATTTCCATTGATCGAATTCTTTGAATTAATTGATCGTTCCTTTCGAGATCTTGTGGAAAATGATCACAAATTCATTCTTTGTTAAATGATATATGAAATTTATGAAGATTTTTCTTTATTAGATACGTCAAATGATAAAATCAACAAAGTTTCATTTTGATGGGAGCAGAAGAAACCTAAAAGAAATGCAATTGCGATCGGTTTAGATCAGTCAAGTCAAGTTTAAATCTTAAAGTATCATCTTGGGTGGGTGTCATTAATTCGAAAATGTGACTTTAGTTGTTCCTCCCCCCCCCCGGTGTAAGAGATAGCAACAAGTATATATCGTTATGTTTATTTTTCATTGGGATAGGATCGACGGTCATTCGTCTAGACGTCCACCCTTCGGCGTTGTTGGGTCCGTTTGAAAACGTTCTTCGTTTGATCAAGGATCGGAGTTCTCGACTTCCTAGATTGTAATTATACGATAATCTTGTTGACTAAACGTACCCGTCGGTTACGAACATCCAAATAATTTATTATCTCGCGACATTTTATCTTTTGCGTTCACTGTAATCATACGTGTGTGCAGCCGTTAGAGGTTAGTTAGGTTAGTTGGTTGGTTAACTCGCGAAAAGTAATCAAGCTAATATTCCGTATAATTTGTTTACGTGTGCAACACACTCTGTTATTTGTCAATTCGTAATGGATGAAAAAGATAAAGAAAAAAAAAAAATAGGAAACAATGTTAGAAAAATATAATCGAGTTACGTTTTAAAACACGTACGTTGATATTTTCTATCTTTGTCGCGGTTAAAATGTGACACAACGTGATAGTTATATTTAAAAAAAAAAAGAAAAAAAACTTACGTTCGAATAGAAAAAAAAAAGAAAATCATCGTTGATTATATCCGTACGATAAAACAGCTCGAGCATTCGGGCTATCATCATAATCGATGACATCATAATCTCGGTACGCGAACGTTTTGTGTCAGTGATGTCAGAATAATTTGAAATATTTCGTTAGATTATTGGTAACAATAATTTTATTATTACGTGTTACTTCGAATAAATTCATCATACATTTCACTAATTTGTTTATTAAAAAAAAAAGAAAAGTAATCAAAAAGATGTACAACCAATATTACCCCCACTCCGAAAGTTCGGTAATAAAATTACAACAATTTGGAAATACCCCATTGTTTCGTGAAAAATTACAACTTAGTATAGTTGATTTATATAATGGAACGTTTATATAGGAAAATAATTAGCAATAGAATGACTAAGCAATAAACTGAGTCAGTGTTGTTGGAGGTGGGCTCTTAGATAGCACGCTTCGTGTGTTTATTTGGCTTCACTCCTAAGAACCCAAAGTGGGTGGGTAAGATCAAGATCGTCTAAGATTTCCCCTTAACTTTATATATGTTCGATATAATTTGATTTTGTTGTGACTCTATGGTGTTTCCCCCTTAATCCCATCCCACCTTCTTCTTCCTTATACCTTCCTTCATTTTCTCGCATGTCATTGTCGTTTGAAATGTATCCTAAACGTTTCATGTAAAAGAGTTTTGTTTCAAATTATTTCAAACAAAAAATGTCCATGTTGCTTTTCAACGAATCAGATTATCGATTAGAAAAATAGAATACGAGTATTTTAAACGATAGATACACGAAACGTTGAAGTAACCTAAACACAAGTATGGTGAATCTAATCGCGAGATGTGGACCATAGTTGACAGGAAGGAGATGAATTAACCCGTTGAGGAACACAGTTTCTAACCGTTGTTAGATCTTTTGAATAAGATAAGGGAACTGAACTATGAAAGGATAGGGACAATGAAATAGCCTAATGAAAAGTATCCTTCTTATCGAATCTATCCGTCGGATAACGTGACAAATACATTGCTAGTAAGAGTTAGTTAACACGGTATATACGATTGGATAAGAAACTTACTTCTAATCCAGTTTGCATGCTTTCTTCTTTTCTTTTTATTCGTCATTCCATTCATTTAAAATTGCAACATAAAAAAAAGGTTCGAAAGTTAAACACGTTATCATTGAAGGTATTTAAATGTTTGATTTGTGATTAAATGAATATTTCTGAGTATATAACCTATCATGTTAGGTGTTAGGGAAAAATTTTGAGTAAGGGGAATATTACTAGAAAATTAATTAATTATTTCGTGACATTATTTTACAATAATTTAGTTTTGTAAATTTGTTAAGAAACCGTACAGTTTATTTAACATATTTTATTTCTAATTGTTGTGTAGGTCAAATGCTATAACAGGGTAAAAAGGTTACTAGAAAATGTGTTGTGTAAAACCGTGTTATATGAAACCCAAAGTTCATTATTTGCAATTAATTTAATTTTATAAATACATTAAGCAATTATTGGATTATATATAAATTAATTTATTTAACAAATTCTATTTCTAATTGCTAATACAACTAACCCTTCTAAAATACGATAGAAAAGTTACTAGAAAATATTCTGTTAAGTGAAACCGTGTTATATAAGACCCAAAGTTAATTATTTTAAACTAATTTAATTTAAATATGTCAAACAAAAATCATATCATCCACTTACAAAAGTTTATTCCAATTTTCCAATAGTCTTATAACAAAACCATATTCTAAAAAAATTACCCATAACTCAAACCAATTATTACCAATCGTATTGGTTCAAAGATAATGAGAGTAAAGTTCCAACTTAACAATTCGTAGTTAAAGATGAACAAGTAGGTGTATAATAAATAAAATTAACGTGAACCTCAAAAGTACGAACATTTTCCATCACGTTCCATCAATCGTTGGGTTCGTCGCGGGTCGCAGAAAGAAAGTCGTGCGTCGTGCATGCGTGCGTGCGCCTTGTTGGTCCGGGACACACATGGACTATTTGCTATGGGGGTACCATCGCGGATCCCGTTTTTTTTTCTTGTTTATTTTTTTATTTCTGGTCTCTCGAGTCACAACACTAGTAAAGTTACAAAAGCCAAAGTCAAACACAGATCCGGGGACGGGCCTTAACCGGTTTATCAAACACACTCGTTGTGCCCACCACCCGATGGTGGTCTCTGTCTGTCTGTCCGTCTGTCTTCCGCTGAAACCACCAAAGACCAAGAAAACCAAAGAGAATTTAGTTAGATGACAACTTTTGTCACTCTATCTTCACTTTTCGTGATCTTTCTCTTTTGAGTTTGAGTTTGAAAAGGAAAGAAAAAAAAACCCCACCCAACCCCACTCCCTTTCCCTTCCCACCCCTTCCCTTCTTGTGGATGATACGTTCACGCGAAGGCGGAGAGGTGTAGAAGAAGGTGGAGTCAAACACTGAGCCCGGACAAACCTTCATCTTTTGTTGTCCTCCTTTTTCTTCATCTTTACTTATGGTGTATATATATATATATATATATATGTATACTCGGTGAAACTCCTTGTTATATTCTTTTTTTTCGGTCAAGATCGTTAACACCTTACTCTCAGTATAATAACCCCCATAATACAAATTCGGATTCATTAATATTGGGTTGTTCGAAAAGTTCGTGCCAATTTTGACAGAAGATTGAAATTTAAGTATTTTTTATGGTACATATTTATTAAATTACATACAAATATATATAAGTGCCATTTTGCTACACAACCCTTTCTTCATATTTGAGGGTAACTTCAAAATTTCGTCTTTCCAGAACTTTTCAGATTTTTCTAACAAAAACACTTTACGCCATCTACCGCAAATTTGCACAAACTATTCTGAACGACCCAATATTTTTTCTTACCGGTCTAACTCATTATGGGGACGAAGGGTAGAGGGATTGGAGGATCAACGCGTGCGATGTGGGTTTTGAAAAATTAAAAAGAAAATGAACAACGGCATTTTCTTACGAGCAGGTCGATAAACGAAACCAGACTCCGATTATGAAGGTAATACCCCGGCAGGTTGAGGATGATTAATCGTTCTCTAGTAGGGCTTCGCGAAGAACTAAGGTAAGAGAGGGCTCGATATATACTGAGAAATAATGTATGCCGTGGGAAATGATAAACCGTGCGACCCGAAAGTAACTTCGTTTAAATCTTCCTACGTTTCATATGTTCGTTTTACCTTAACCAAAGAATAAAAAGAGAATAAGTTTACAAATTTATCAGAAGAAGGGGAGAAAGTTGAAAAGAGCAATTTGGTGATACACAAAATTACATATCCGTGACGATTGAATTGCCTCGAAAGAAAATCGCGAACGAAAACGAGTCTTCGAAATTTGTAACGATTGCGAAAACCCGAAGGATTGGGGTCTCGTTTTTGTTTAACCCCGTTTCACTTCTGTTTCTGATTCCTACAAGTTTTCATTAAGATATAAAACCATCGATAGTATCAATTACAACGATTTCAATAGAATATGATTTAGATTCGTTCTAATTGCTTATATTATTCGTTTAAATCTTATGGGCTCTTATATGCGTCCAACGAAAACAACATGAAAAAGTTTCAGTCTGATTGATTAGATTGATTCGATGAAAGTTTTGATTTTGATACATTTTATTCGTGTATATTAAGCCGTTTAAACGTTATGGGCGCTTATATGCGTCCAATGATATAAAATAAAAATTACGATCTGATTTATTGTACCGAATCGATGAAAGTTTTTGATTGGGGTACTTTCTAGTCGTGTGTATTAACCCTTAGCATGATATGAATCCAAATATACGCCCAACACAAAGATTCCAAGTGTACAAAGGACGCATATATGCGCTCATGAATTTTTTTTTCTACCAACCATCTTATTTGGGAATTTTTTTGTTTATTTCTATCAAAATTGTTCATATTAGGTTCACATTAGTTTCAAATAATCGCAGTTGTTCTGCAAGGGTTAATTAGGTCTCAAAAGGTTAATCAACATTGAGAAAGAATACCAGTTACCTGTTTACAAATAAAATAATTGAAATGAAAGAAATTATTTTAGCAGGAGGACCTTTCGTAGGACGAAGTGCCGAGCCCTTTGACGTAGTTAAAGTTTAGTCCAAGAGGAGTAGGAGGAGGAGGGTTTCTTCTTTCTACGTCCCTTTTCGTTGTCGCCTGGGCTTGACTTACGTCCTACGTTCGCAAATAAAAAGTAGAAATAAAAATTGCAAAGTTTAAAATAAAAAAATCAGTAAAAAAAAAACAGTCAAGTTGAAGGTGCACGCGTGTGCATTTACACACACACACATACACATTCACGTATCCATTCTCTTTCTTTCTCTTTTTGTCTGTGGTTTCGGGTTCAGCAGGGTTCACCGGACATATTATGGGACAGGCGTGCACTCCAGCGTGAAATGAAAATATTATGGCAGCGCCCATGAGAGTGGTGTCGGGCCCCGTGCCACACATCGAAGGATCTCGCGACGACGTTGTTGTTGCCCCCTTTGAAAGGGCGTCGACGAGAAAAGAACATTTTTCGAATCCTTTTTCTCGTACGAGTGTTCTAAAAGCGAACGTAATCGT